CTGTATAGGATAGGTGAAATATAATACTTTTTCTATTTCATGATAGATGGCGTTGTTTTGAATAAGTAAAACGCAGATTATCAACTTATTTTCAAGTAATTAGTGCACAGTTAAAATTAATTTTGGGCTTTATTTTTAATAGTAGTAGAATATGTATATATAATACATATACATACATTAATTCGCCAATTTAGTCGATGAACGTCTATGTCGCCCCTCGCCGTCTCCGCCACTCACTTCTGCAACATAAATTTGCTTTGTCACCCTTTTACAGTTGACTAAGTACGTAGACATAAACTCATCAAAAATTCCAGTGGTATTCGTAGCTATCAAGATAGGTGGCGACACGTAGTAAAAACGTACCTACTAGGTACTTCACTTATGCAGGCAACTTGTACTCGGTATAATCTGCAGACGATTAAGGACCGGCGAATGGGTAAAAAATATAAATATGGTTCCGTAGTTCATATCATTCTTCTTTACTTTGCATGTTTTCTGTATATGGTATGATTTCTGAATAAACAGACCTTATTTGTAGTTTGATAAAACGGCAAGTTGTAAAGTATAAGCTATATAAAATTACAGATTGTGAGGTATTTCATCTTAGTGACCAGGGATGAGAACGGATCTATAGCCTTCCGTGGTCAAAGTTGGTTCCAGACGTCCTTGAAGTACAGTTACCATTTACTTGAAGATGTTAGAAAGTTTTGTTGATCAAACAATAAAATATAAATTTAATTTTAACATAATATGTCATTATCAAAATCTGGTATAGTTTCCACGCTTCGGAAGCGGGTTGGCATCTAATTTTTTTTTATTTTTTAATTCATATTAGGAAGATATTTACACTTAATTCTGAGAAAATAAAATTCAGGTACCAATGCTTTTACCGACCGATTTTTTACGCTGGGAAATGTCTACGTATACCCGCCTCGCGGGGGCATGGACGGATTAAGTCAGCTTCACTCAGACTAAAATCCAACGGTATTCCATCATCGCTGCAGGGCCACGCGAAGGAATACTCCTCTCCCTTTTCATCTCAGGTAAGGCGCACCAGGAAAACAATGCCTTCATCCACAGCTTTTAAATCTACCTGCGTAACGGACAAGGCGGATACCAATTCGGTGAGAAGGTGACATAATCCATCATAACGCCAATAGAGTTACAGCTTTGCTCAGCAACGAACTACCTGCAATTAGAATAAAGTAATGTTAAAAAATCGTTCTATGTTACACAAAAAAAGTCGATTCGAATACTTACGTCGATTATAATTAAATCATAGTTACTCCCAAGAAATAAGTTTCGCACAAAATTTTTTTGAATGTCACATAGACATTAATGCATTTTCTTACACAACTAACAGACAAAAGCTACTAAGCTGGTAACGGGGCAACATCTCGTATATCAATGATAGTCTGGCTTTAACCCCTAATTTGCTAAATTTATCCTGTTGCCCTTACCAAAAGATAATTATTAATAACCAATTATAAAGGCTGTAATTTAGACTGGATTTTATTTTAAAAATTTACAAGGGTTTTAAAGTTAAACCATGAAACACTAAAATAGAAAAAGCCAAAGCGCTTGAAAAAAGATTTGCCACCGATACTGCTGACGGAATCGAGCTAAGGGTGGCTGAACTCACCGGGCCCGCTCGCGCTCAACTTACTAGACATGTAATCCAATAGAGACGTGAGACGCCTTAAAATATAAAAGGAAAATTGGAAGGCCGGTAACACATGAAGTTTGTACGTTGCGTAAACGATGGATCACGTCAACCTTTTATGAATGAATCGTAAAATTAACAAAAAAATATTCATTTAAATTTCGTTTATTTGCAAAAATAAATTAAAATAATATTTATTTAATGATTTCTTAAATTTACGCGAACACTACACATTGAATAAAACTAATTAAAAATAAGTAAAAGTAGTGAAATAAACGCGATAAAATCCGTAAATTTAGTTTTATACAATATTTACTTATTTATTTACTTACCACCTTCCTATCACCTTTAAGAAATGACTATAAATTGAAAAAAGTAACGGCCGTAATTTATTAAGATAGTTTCTCTAAAAAGAAGCTTTAAATTTTTGAAATTGAATCCATCCATAAACGGTACATAGTATGAGAAAGCACAATATTTTAACTTCAGTCTAGATATACTGACGTTCTCATCAAGCTTGCGGACAAATAACTCTAAAGTATTTCTCAAGTAAATGTTAAATTTTATTCGTACTTTATCGGTTTTAAAAATATTGTTATTTATGATCTATTTAATAACTATTTTAGTTTTAATCAACCACGTAGTGGCGGTGTAAAAAAAATATAAATAGTGGCAGCAATGGCAAATATCCCACAGATAAAGCAACCTATGGATAAGCAGCAGTGTGTTTAGTAGTGAACTTTTAATATAGTCTATAACGGAAACGGTATTATATAACGATATTATATTTTTTTAAGATTCATCGTTACTAGTTTTTATACTAATATTTATAAATTAAAATATCACAATATTAATTTAAATAAACCTCATTGTATCTTCATCTACCTATCCGAAGTAGAATGATCTTACGTTTTCAGAGTTATATGACTTATGCACCACCTATCTTTCTTCATTAAGTTCATCGGGCGTATTACCCGGCTGATTCGGTTAACCTTGTTATATTGCGTAATCGTACATTAAATAGAAAAAACTATTCTGTAGTAATCGGATAGGAAAACAGATTCTGGAAAAACATTTGACTGCTTGGCTGTACGCATTGTGATCGAAGAAGCAAACCGCCATATATAACATGCCATAAACAATGATTTGGGGAGCCCTGCCGATCGTCTGTTTGTCTGGAAAGTGAAATAATTCAAGGAAGATAAAGAGTCAAATCATGTTATTCCAGGTTACTCAGCGTCTGTGCTCGAATTAGTTTCAATCAAACCACTTCAATTATATTATTCTCACCATATACTATATTTAACATTACTTTATTTTAAAGTCAGAGTTGCTTGTTATTTAAATTTTAATTTCATTGTCATTTATTATTCTATGGTCATTCATAAGCGAGATGAGCTGTTGTACATGGTAAAATATTTTTACACATTTTTGATTATGTTTACATTTGCAATGCAATAAAGAGAAACGTAATCACAACTTAAAATGATTATCCAAAATATGATGACCACATTTATAATCACTTCACATCCTAGGGCAACACAGGCTACCGGTGAATCAGAGGGGTGTAGCTGTAGCCATACGCAGGTGTTCCCTCTGTCAAAATATAAGTCCACGCGATCCCTTGCGTGCAATAACACTATTTGGAGCCACACTGCTCACTACACTAAATCTAGTTACGCAGCTGAATCGATGTCTATTGTTTTATTTTTTATGTGTGAGTTTCGTAGTGGCAGACTTTTATTTAACACGTTCATGCACGCATACCATAATAGTCATCTTATAGGCCGTGGCGCATGATTACTCCATACAAAGTTTGAGGGCGTCCATACTCGTATCGCCGTATCACAAACAAAATATTGCATATGACTTGTCGGTAACGTCAGTAAGCGTTGACGTTCAAGGACGCACCGGTATATTGCTAAAATTATTATCCATCAAAGGGGCAACAACGTTTAGGTACGTCTACGTTACCAGCCGTTCTGTTCCGATTTGTGGGTATTTTAGACCTTACAGATTACAAGAACGTCGTTAAACGTCAATGTCGGTACACGTTCTGCTTTCATCTCTAGACAAGATCCCTACACTATATTCAACAACGTTTAATAACGTCAACGTTGGGACACGTTCTGCTTTAATCTCTAGTCAAGATTTCTACACTATATTGAACAACGTTTAACAACGTTAACGTTGGGACACGTTCTGCTATAATCTCTAGACAAGATTTCTACACTGTATTGAACAACGTTTAACAACGTCAACGTTGGGACACGTTCTGCTTTAATCTCTAGACAAGATTTCTACACTATATTGAACAACGTTAAACAACGTCAACGTTTACAGCCGTTCTGTTACTAGTTGTCAAATATTGATACCATGATAAGAAAGCAGCGTCAATGCACGTTGACGTTCATAACTGTTGTTCCACAAATATCTAGTAGAACTTAAAGTTTTGGGAAACAACGTTTAATTACTCCAACGTTACTTGACGGTCTGATCATAAATCGACTATACGAGCAAATTATCTGTCGCTCATCGTTTCCTGACGTTGACTTTGATTTATAAAAATAAAATAATAAACAGGATTTGATATGGAATAATACTCAATAATCATCAGTTTTTTGTTATATATTTTTAGAAAATCAACTATTTTTCAAAAATTACCTACATATCACATTTTGTGTCAATATCTACCCTCTTCTCGACTTAATTGAAAATAATTTAGGTGCAATTGTCCATAAATTTCTTCCAAGATTTAGTTTAATAAAATTTACTTTTACTTCCTATCCTATGTGTGAGTAACTTTTTCAAATTTTACGCTATTATCACATATCGATCAAATAATACTATGGTAAGTTTGGTTTATCCCATAGAAGTAACGAATTATTTCTCAAAATAAACAGTTTCTCACTACTATCTTATCAATAAATTACCACTATAGCACAATAACAATCAGTCTTACACAGTTTTGGTATAACATTGGTAGCAAAAAATTATAAAAATTATAAATACTCACTAACTTTTACCTACCTATCATATGAATGAGTAACCTTTTAACATTTTACGCTACTATCACAAAATCAAATAATACTCTGGTAAGTTAGGTATTTTCTATAAAAGTAACAAATTATTTCACAAAATTAACAGTTGCCTGCTTCTATCTTATCAATAGATTACCAGTATAGCACAATAATATTCAGTCTTACACAGTTTAGCAGATTTAGTATGTTATAATCGTAGCAATAAATTATAAAACTTCTAAATACTCATATGCGTGATACAGTTATACTTATTTGATATCACTCTCATAAAAAGGAACAAAATAGGTAAAAAAGCATTATACTTCTTTGTGCCACTCTTCGAAGCAAAGAGCACACAGTGCTGGCTTTTCAGGGCAACCTTTACATCTCAGGCAAGTCTCCCTTCTCACCTTTTTTTTCGTGCACATCTTGCATTTCAAGTACTTTGATGTTTTGTTTGAACCCTCTTGCACGGGTATTTTCTCAGGCCAGTGACCATGGACTCTTGAGCTTCCGACGTCGTCGTCAATGGTACTGACTGGAAGTGGCAATAAATTAGCTCTGATTCTGTTGTCATATTTGCTGCGAGCTAAAATCACTTGCTCTGCTGTTAAATCTGCTGGTAAGTCCAACAGTCTTCGAATCAATTCCTCTCGGAAAAGCAAGAAATCACAATTAGCTTGGCAGTATTTTTTGAAAATAAAAAATGAGTTCCATACTGCGACATCCAACAAGTGGAACATCACTTTTTTATACCACCGGATTGATTTCCTTGGTGAGGAGTAATATGAGATCATTTGATCTGCTCTATCAACTCCGGACATGTGTTGATTGTATTCTGCCACTTCTGCGGGTTTAATTTTTCTTTGTTGAAATCTGTTTTGTATTTCTATAAGCCGAGGATGAACTGAAGTTGTTACCATAAGAACTGGTCGCTTGTCAACCCATTTTGAAACATAGACCTTATTTTTTCGTACCCACACATGTTGATTCTTCTTGAGTTTTTTCTTGATGATGTCTTTGGGATTATCTTTTCTGTTTGAACGTAAGGTACCTGTGGTGTGAGTTTTTAAGTCAACTAGCTTTTGCGAAAGTGTTACGGAATTGTAATAATTATCCATGTATAACTGATGTCCCTTCAGCAAATATGGCCTCATGAGACGAAGGACGATCTTTTCAGATTTTTTACCAGTTCGGGCAGTTGTGTCTTTTCCGGAGTACATCATTATATTTAAAACATAGCCATCAGAAGTTGTCAACTCGAAGAATTTGATTCCGTAACGTACTTTTTTGCTCTTTATATATTGTCTGAAGGCAAGGCGGCCTCTAAATAAAAGCAAAGATTCATCCAAACTTAACTGTTTGTATGGCTTATAGCACTCCATGAAGCTCTTGGTAATAGCATTAATAAATTTTTCAATTTTATCTTTTCCTTTTGAATCTAAATCTGATACATAAATACATCTCAAGATTTGCTCAAATCTTCTAGCGGACATCACATAGTGAAAAATTGGGTGATAATACAGTGGGTCGGAATACGTAAAATTTTTTGCGTTTTTGAGGAATTTTGATTTGACCCATAAGCAAACATAATCCAAAAAATTTCAAGATTTCTTCCCGGTTTGTGTCCCTAAAGTTATAGCTACGTGAGTTTCGAGTAGTAGGTCTTGTTTTCTCGCATAGTGCTCGCCCGTACGTATTAGTACATGTTACAATATAGTCTACAATATTAGGATTAAGAATTTTATCAAATATTTCCATAACTGTCATAGCTGGGTTGACTTCAAACTGGACACCTGCTGAACTTTCATCAAACTCGAACGAAGGTATGTCTGTGTTCGTGTGTTCCCAATCATAATTTATCAGTGGAGGAGTGCTTGGTCTGCAATTGGTCGCTGGACTTATCTCGGGGAGTGTGTCAGGCACGGAGTTTCTTTCGGCGGCCTCTGGGTCCAGCACATGACAGATAGAAGGGTTGCGTTGTACAAATGCTTCCCGATCCAAAGCAGATGGACTGGTAGGCGCAGAATTCGTTTCGGCAGCATCTCGTTCCGGCACAGGAGAGCCGGAGAAGCCACGCTCTGCAACTACCTCCAGTGCAAGTGTGCTGGCCGGAGTTGAATATCTTACAGTAGCGTTTAGTTCTGGTGGTGCAGAAGAGCTAGGTGAGCGGCACTGCGTAGCTGCGTCCAGGTCCAGAGCAAGTAGGTTGGAAGGCGTGGGATTTTCCTCAGCAGCCTCCCGATCTGATGCAGACGAGCTAGGAGTGCGGCGCTGCTCAACTGCGTCCAGATCCAGGGCCGATAAGTTGGCAGGCGCGGGATTTCTTTCAGCAGCTGCTGGATCCGGTGCAGGAGAGCCAGGAGAGCAGCGCTGCGCAGTTGCGTCCAGGTACAGGGCAGATAATTTGACAGGCGCGGGATTTCCCTCAACAGCCTCCCGATTCAGTGCAGGAGAGCTAGGAGAGCGCTGCTGCGCAGCTGCATCTAGGTCCAATGCAGGTAGGTTGTCATGCGCGGGATTTCCCTCAGCAGCTGCTAGATCCAGTGCAGGAGAGCCAGGATAGCGGCGCTGTGCAGCTGCATCCAGGTACAGGGCAGATACGTTGACAGGCGCGGGATTTCCCTCAACAGCCTCCCGATCCAGTGCAGGAGAGCTAGGAGAGCGGTGCTGCGCAGCTACATCCAGGTCCAAGGCAGGTAGGTTGTCATGCGCGGGATTTCCCTCAGCAGCTGCTGGATCCGGTGCAGGAGAACCAGGAGAGTGGTGCTGCGCAGCTGCGTCTAGTTCCAGTGCACGTAGGTTGGCAGGCGCGGGATTAACCTCAGCAGCTGCAGCAGCATGGTCGTCTTCAGCACCTTGAATTTGTGGATTAGTATGGGAGTGACTTCCTTCGATATGTGAATAAATTGAGATATTTTCTAATACTGCAGGATCGAGTTGCACTGAAGAGCTTTCAAGATTTTCTATATTATTTAGCAATGCCTCAGAATCTAACGACATAGTGTCGGTACTCTGATCTGCACTGGCGATCTTAGGTTTTTTGTATCTTGATCCTAAAGAGGAACTCTGCCCCTTCTTTTTCTCTTTCTACTGTCAAAAATACTCTCATCACTAGATTCTGCCGATATCGAATTTGTATCATCCTCGTTGTCATCGCTATCACATACATCCGTGCACTCGCTAAAGCCTTCGGTTCGATCGTCAGAATCAGAGCTGCTACTTACACTGCTTTCAGAGTTACGTTTACCATGTGACCTCGTTGCGTTGTCCTTGGAACGTTTCTTTAGTTGTTTCTTTTCACGTTGCTTTGTGTGATCACTAACAGTGCTAGTGCTGTCTGTATTATCATCATATCCTGGATCATAGTCGTTATCGGAACCATACTCTCCATCATCACTAAATGGGTCTGGTGTAGATGGCCTTGATGAAGAATCATATTGAAACAACTTCATGGAAGCATTATTACTAATTTGGCGTGATTTTTCCACCTACAACAAAAAACATAGCTATCATCTTATTCAGGACACAAAATGAGAACATATGCGTACATTTGAGATTTTTTTCAGAAATATTTCATATCAAATTGGACGTTCTGTGACGTTGTTAGAACGAAAGTGTTAAGTGTGCGCAGATTCACCCGCAAAGACATTTAAGTAGTAGATCACCCGCAAAAAATTACAGACAATTTTGTATCAGGGTAAAATACTATGGCTGTTCCACTCCAGTCCCGTGTTGCTCTATGGATTACCATGGTCACGGGGGACTGAGATGTTTGACGTCCCAATGTCATTGTTAGCCCGGCTACCGGACATTGGGACCTCAAACATCTCAGTTCCCCGTGACCGTGGGTGTTGTAAAGCACCCGAAACGTCGGGAATTAAAAATAAGTAAAAGTAGTTAATTAAACGCGATAAAATCTGTAAATTTAGTTTTATTCAATGTGTAGTGTTCGCGTAAATTTAAGAAATCATTATACATAAAAACTTTTTAAAACGTAATGTCACAAAAGCCATTACTTACTTTTTGTGAATAATAATAAAATATTTTATGGTTTAAAACAATTATGAATATTGCGAAATTATAATGAGCAACATAATGACATAAACTACTAATGACTTCCTATCATTTGGATCAAGATCACGCAAGTAGCATCAAGGTTCGCTTCCTTGTTTAATATTCTGAGAGTTACTCGCGAGCCGTCCACTTTGTCAGCTTATTTGGTCCCCATGTTGTTTTTGAATCACAATTGTTATTGTGTAATACAATGGCCCTTGACCAAGACGGTTAAACCGGAGCCTAGAAACGGAGTAAACGAATGCAAAGAGTTGTTACTATCGTTTATTTTAAAGATACAATGCTACAAGAAATCCAATTTCGTCTTTGTTACAAATAAACACTTTCAAGCGATATGACGTACGTACTATGTGTTTTAGGACGAATAATAAAACTTGATTTGTAGTGATACCGAAATAATAGCGCGCGTACAAAGTTGTTTGTACGTGCAGTTTTATTTTACTCCACGTTTTAGTAAGAGCAAGCGTAATGATTTTATTTATCACTTGCAATACTACGAAACTTCATCATCATCACCATTACAGCCTTTTAAAAGTCCACTGCTCAAGGAATGCTAAAGTACGATTCTGAGCCACCTGTATCTATGGACTTGCATGTCTTACCAGGTCGTTCGTCTAGTGGGGGGCTACCCTACACTTCATCCACCGGTACGAGGCTGCCACTCGAGAACCTATGTTTTCCATCGGTTGTCGGTTTTTCGAACTGTATGGTCGGCGGGTTGCCACTTTAGCTTACTAATCCGTTGGGTATATCTGTTACTCGGGTTCTACTGCAGAATTCCTCATTTCTAAGTTTATCAACCAGAGAAACCACGAGCAAAGCTCACTCCATAGCACGCTGAGCGAACTTAAGCTTCATTACACTACCAGCAGTGAAAGACTGAGACGTTTTCTTTGATCTATAAGTCATTACTGGCAACACACAGAGGTTGTACATCCTTTTTTTTTTTCATTTTGTAGCTTTAAATCTGTATCAAAAGAGACATACCATGGTGGGCTACGAGCATGTTTGAAACCTAAAATTTAAGTTACTTTATATATTACAACGCGTTGTAATCATCATAATAGCTTTAATACATACAAAATATTTCTTGTTCTTCTGTACTATATGGGCCTTTTTATTAAAATAATTTTATTATATCTTCGTATATACTAATTATTTAACGTATTTATAATAATAGCAATATATTATATAATATACTAAAATATATTAAAGGAATCTCAACTGAGTTATATAATACCTGGAGTATTTTATTTAGGTATTTTCATTCTGAATAATTTTCGTTATCGTGTAGTGGCGATGTAAGAATATACATTATATCCCCATACTAATGCTGTCCCATCATAATACACAACAGAGGGAAACTGAAAAAAAAACTCGTTAAAAAGGTTGTTAACTCATCAGCCGAGCGCGGTAACTATGGCAAACTTCCACCTGATGTAATATTTTATATAAGATAAAATTTTGTTAAAAATATAAATATGTAGCGTGTATTCAAACACGGGATACTCAGCCAGTTACGAGAACGGTTTATTACTGTGATAAAAGTGCGAGGATGTAACCTAAAATGAAAGTCGATCAACCACATTATATAGCTTGAAGAAATTACTGCCTTGACCCCTTTTAGATGAAGTGGCAAATTAATGAAGTATTTAGGAGGTGAAATACCAGACTAAAACGAGTGTCTTCGCTGCAGCCCGTTAAGGAAGCACAAAAGAATAAAACAGGGAGGAAACTTGTAATAAAGGAAAGCTACTAGACTATCTAAACCTACATATCCTACCATCAGGACAAAAGCATCCTCCTTTCGGTACATTAAGTAAACAAGAATAGGAAATATAATATAAGATATAAGAATTCGAAAGAAATAGCACATATCGCATAATTTTTAATCGAAAAGCATCTGCGTTGAGCATCTCAAGCGATATTTTAAACCATCAAAATTATTTAACACATATTAGATAATGGTAAATACATTTTACTTGCAAGTGCAGAGTAAGAATTATTTCAGGGAGAGTATTACAAAGTGAGGATTATTTCCGCACATCATGTTCATTGAAATATTGATCTATTTTATAATATTTTCAGGAATAAAATATTATTTAACATATATTTTATTCGTTATATAGTGTTTTCACTGAAATATGCTGCATTTTTTCTTAAAACATCACAACGGTTTCATTTAAATTGGCTTTTATAGAGTAATTGTTTTTCTCATACTTCGCATATAGCTGATTTTCAAAGGTTTACACACAAGATAGAGTCTCTCGCAAAGTAAATGTTAGTTTTTGCACTACATAAAGCTACTAACAAGTACCAGGAGAATATAAAACTCCAAGAGTACGCCCGTTTTAACGTAGCTTTAGTAAAACTAAAGTAATACACCGCAGGAGAAAAGATATTAATCCCGGGCTTAAGCGGCGTCGTGTGCAGCAAAGATTACGAGGACAATTTATCAGGCTAATTTAACCGCGTCCCATGACTAAATTATGACTAGGTCTAGAGGATAGACAAATTGCAATTTTGCACTGATTGCTTTCATACTGCAATACATTTTCATGATGTTATATGCTGTAAGTATATAAAAAAACCATTTATACTTAGCGCTTTCAAATATCCCTCATTTTAGTGAAAAGTACAATAAAAAAAAAGATTATTATATTATTGTCCTTTAAAAAAGACAAGAAACAGGATACCTGCTGAGTTTAGCGGTTTTTTCTCCGAAAAAGAGCCGATTTGAAATGATAGTTGATTAAAAAATTAAAAAGCAATTTATATTTATTTATTTATTTAATTTTAATTAAAACATTTAATTTCATAATAGAATATTATAATACTTATCTCTGGCGGGACTGTGTATATAAAATGAACTCAGTCGCACCAGAAAATATTATAATATACTGAGTCCGAGGTGGTAGAATCATTCCTACCACGTCTCTGGTTTGACCGGAGAGGGATCACGCTTGCAAAGAATACTAGTCTGGAATAACAACCGCTGCTATGTTTCATAAGTATGTGTAAAGACATCTGCATCTATTTTCTGATAAAAATCAAAATACAGAAAAAATACTGCAACGTGATGGGGTCACTGGGTAGTCACTAGGTGAAGTGAGGACCTGTTAAGACGTGCAGAAAGTCCATGCAATAGTGCAGGTGGTTCGGGACTGTCCTTAGTGGCATTTGGGGAAGGCCTGTATATATATATATATATATCAATGACTGCTGTGTTTCATTTGCTAAAAGAGGAGAACCAGAGAACAGAAAAATGGAGTCTAAGGTTAAATTAAGGTTAAAATAGGGCGATGATAATAGGTATTATTCGAACTAAAGACTACCAAGCAGGCGGGTACATCGTCCACTTACTCAAACGTTTATTTACAAATAAAATGTTATTCATTATTAATTCATGCGTAGTCTATCACTTGTTATATCAGTAATATAACTAGTGATAGACTACGCATCAGTATTAGTGACATAATATTAGATACTAGTGATCAATGAATACTTTTTATAATTTTCTTATCCCCAAACCAATATATGACCATCTATGTAATGTTGGGTATGTACACACGTTATGTTGTAGAAATAAGTTTTCATTCGCCTCTGTTTACAAACATCTCAAGTTCAGCTATAAGTTTCCGAGTTATAAAATAAAAATAAATTTTACCCTGCAGTCGTAACTTCTTTTATACACTTAACACGTATGCGTCACATGCATTGCACGTTTATTTTTTTTTTATTTGACTAATTGACTAATCAGCTGAGACACGGTATCTTGATACCAAAACTGAAGCATAATAAATAGTCGTATTACAGATTTTCAAACTTTGTCTTTCAATTTTATTAATTATCGATTTGTATAATTTTCAAAAAAAAAAAAAACAAGCTTCTATCTTATGGGCTGATAAAGCTACAAAAACAAGTTACTGTTTACAAGTACATACTGGCAAATGAGATTTATATTAATACTTTGAAATCAATCATTTTTTGAGTGCTAATCCGTGGCAGGTGCATAGACGAGCGCAGTGCCAGACGTCTTGCATCTTTTATAATGGTTCTCGGCACCGGTCTGAATATTTTCCATCAACGTAATGGGCACCGTCATCTATGTTTTTTTGTTTTATAAGAGACGGTGACAAACGAGCACACAGTCCACCTGATGGTAAGTGGTTGCTGTTGCTCATATATATCTAGATATATCATCGATAACGAATCAAAATGCAGATGCGTTGTCACCCTTGAGGACTCTAATGGAGTGCGTTTCCAGTTTCCAGTAAAAATTGTCTCCGATTCTCTACATTACACTCACCATACGAAACACAGAAGCATCGAGCCGACCCATTTGTGCTACAACTATACTACTAATATAACTGCAGCA